GAGGAGTTTGGGAGGACCTCCCGCACAACAGTCCAGCGCTCTATCCATTGAGGATGTCTGTATTTGCTGCCGACCTCTCCCTCTTACTCTTAGACCACTACGATCCATGCTACTAAGCAGATTGGAGTCAGCGAGAACGTGCTCTCGATGTTTCAGCTTTTCCATTAGAATTTTATGTACATGCGGTAGCTTCTCGCTAGCGCTGCGTCTTGGGTGGCCACACCCATGGGTTTCAGGGTGTGAGCGATGCTAGTGTGCGAGAAAACCGCGAGGGTCTGGTGTGGACTGTCATTTCTCGCATCAGACTCCTCTTGAACCGTTCGTCTCGTTCGCGGGCTCGAATATCGCGGCGCACACGCCGCAGTACTATAAAGCCTTCTCACTAGAATATAATGGATAAATATTCCTTCTTTCCTTCTCAATTTTTTCCTAGATACTTGTCGCTGTCACAAGCGCCTAACCACCAATTATCGCCTCTTCCCGCCATACGTGAACCAATTTCCACTGACCCATAATGGAAACATTAGTGTTGATAACATGACAGGGATGCTCCCTCAAATCCTCCATGACCTTATAGTCACTTGTTGCCAGACATGCGCAGCTCATGGAGAATCGTATGTGGACTTCATGTACAACGGCACCAACGGTAAAGCCAAGAGGAAAAGCGAAAGAGAGATGAAGACGTTGATTGAAGACAGTAACGACCTCAGGTATATAATTCATCTGTGCTGCTTAGAAAATAAACTCCCTTGACCACCTATGAGGAGTCGCTTTATAGACTGAATTGTACGTAAAGGTCCTGGGGCCTATTTTTCGAAGATCCCAGTAACCTTACAGGCCCGTAGAGCTGTTCTTTTTTCATGCAATACGGGGGTTTCAAAAGTTTTAGAATGTGTGCTATAAAACTATCAGCTAAAGAAAAAGTATGGAATGGTTAGGGTGCGACAATTTGCTATTCTAGTCTTTAAATTTTGCGCAATGTTAAAATAAGGCTTCGGGCCCGTTAAGTAACTGGGACTTTCAAGAAAGGGGTCCCCGGTCGGAAAGCCAGAAATACGTTTTCAGAAGATCCATTTTCAGAAATCTACACCTATTAAATCAGATAGCTTTGAAGTAAGTAAATAACTATCTGGTTCAGGCTTTAAGCCCAAACTTCCTTTGCCCATATCTACAACTTTCTTCACCAGTTTCCCCGTGTATGGCTGGAAGTGGCAAGAAAATTATGGCCCAGATTACCGCTATATTCCTCTGGTTGAATCTCCGGGCGTGGCCTTTATAATAATCGAGCCTGATGATCGTAGTCCGGCGCAAAGATTGCTGGATGAAGTATTTGCAACTTGGCCCTATTGCGTCATATCATCGCTTCTTGCTGCCATAGCTGGGATTATTATGTGGTTTCTGGTAAGAAATATTCATTGTTGGTTATGAAGTTCTCAGTTAAGTTACTACTAGCGCTAAAATCCCGCCGTAAGAGATGTCTGCGGTTTTTGTCTCGCGGATAGGTTTTCAAGAGACGGATAACGCGACCGCATTCATCACCGTGGAATCAGCAAGATCGATTCACGCTGTAATTGTCGGTTTATTGAACTAAAAAAATACAGTCAAATTTGACTCCTTCAATTCCAGCGTTGAATTAATTAAGCCATCGCCAGAAAAAAAATGAGCCTTATGCCAATATCTTTATTGCTTTGTGGATCTCTGAAGCTGTGAACTGTTTTCTCCCCTCAGGACACAAAGTACAACTCACAACAGTTTCCTCGCTCATTTTGGTGTGGTTCGTGGAACGGGTTTTGGTGGGCTTTTATTTCTATGACAACGTTAGGGTAAGCAATACAGAAATAAATAGAGCAATTTTGGATTGAGCTTCGAAAGTAATTCGGGATTGTTTTGGTTTTGCTTTACTTCGCTCCGTGATTGGTCCGGAAAACTCGCATCATCTACTCAACCAGACAGATGCAAACTCAAAAACAAACGCGCGCCGTCTTCACACGTATTTTCCCGCGCTTCAAACAGCTAAGTTCTCATTGGCCAATGATAATGTAAACCTTTTCTCTGATTGGTCACTGGGATTGATTTGGTTTTTAATAGATTTTTGACCACTCAGTTAAAAAATGCTCTTAAAAAGAATTAAACTTGTTTTTGTTCATCTTCTTGTGTCAAAATTAAAAAACTTTCGTCATCCTTTTTGTCGACAGATATGGCGACAAGGTTCCGTCAGCTTACATATCCAAGTTGTTCGCCATTGTTTGGATCCTAATTGGACTCATCTTGATGAGCATTCTCAGCAGTGCTCTAACCTCTGCCGTTTCAAGCTTCGTGGTTCAAACAAACCTTACACTGTACGGAACCAAGGTATATCTGAACTTGTTTTGTTTTTTTAAATTTTATTTCACTTTTTTTTTCTTGTAATCAGTCAGACTTTGGGAATGTAAGGCCAGAAATCACAACCGCCGCCAGCCCTTCCCTTATCTTTCTTTAGGTCTTCCCAGCAGAATCCTCTCTTCCACTTTTCTATTTCACATGTCCATCGCTATGTCTTTGGATCCTTGAAAGTAAATTTTTACAGTTACTATAACATGTCTCCAACTCCAAACTGGTTACCTCGAACGTTCCATTAGCTGATAGACGTTATACTGCATTTATAAACAGTGCTATTTGGTGCGAAATATATATATCTCTTATTGAAGGTTTTACAACAACTCGTAAAAATACTCAGCGATACTACACAACAAAACGTTTAATAAGAAATTTATTAACCAACACGCCAAGTTGTTATTTAATTA